AGACTTGTTGGGATAAAATATATACATATACACTCATAGCTGCGTAAATCTATGCTTGCTGTTTTGATTCCTTTTGCTACATTATTCAAGTGTAATAGTTACTATATGATTTATAAAAGAATTAACGATAAGGTATTAGCTTAATAGGATATAGCATAGTATTAAAGTCCAATAACTAGATCATATGAAAATTAAAGTTTAGACATATGAAACATGAATTATAGTAAAGTTTTGTAGTTTAAGAATAAGTTTTAACTGAGTTATAAGGCATTATGTTAAATTGTAATAGGTTAATAGTATAGTGTTAAGTTGATAATATTAATTGTTAAAAATATTGGGAATCAGTGAACTTGGATTGAACCTAGAGTTAACTCAGGAAAGTTCTTTGTATTAATCAGGGTATAGAGCAAAGAGTATAATATGAATGATTCGTTGAACATTATGGAAAACACTTTGAACGATTTGTATTGAAATTGTGCACCTGTGACCTTGATGTAAGCACGGCAGGCATCATGGAATTTGAATTGTTTGCTTGGAAATTGCAGATCTCGTGGTGGTCTTGTGATGCATAGTTTGTAAAGCACGAAACTTGTACGCCCCCAGTGAGTGATTATCACATTGCTGGAGGGTATAGAAAATGGTATATAAGTTGGAAAAGGTTGGAATAAAATCGGCTTCGGTCTTGGCCAGGCTGAACCCAGAAGAGCTGCCTCCGAGTAGTTTTCTTCTCTCCGTCTCTGATTCACCGGTGCGGTCCTAACCCTCCCTCTGGTCAGTGCAGGTCACCGACAGTCCCTCCCTGGCCGCCCAGTCTAACCTCTGCACCCCCTTCCTCCTAGCACGTTGCACAATGTGCACTTCTGTGCGTACCCCATGAGTCTATTACTTGCCTACTCACCAGACAATTAGCGCCACACAGATGTGCTTATCATGCCTGGTGATGGAAGGTGCTGGGTAAATATTTGTTGAATAAATGAATGGGTGAATAAATTGCTAAAGGACCTATGCCTATGGAACAGAAAGGCCCAAAGTAAAACACAACTCTTGATTTTTTTTTAAACACGCCATATAATCAGAGAAATACCTGTTGAGTATTATTCCAAGAGCAAATATGTACACAAATAAAGATTACACAACAGTAGCACACGCCTGCCATCTTCATCTGACTCAGGCGGAACACCAGCATGTGTGGAGGACTAAGAGCTCCCGTTTTCCAGCTGCCACTACCAGCAAAGGAGTATCGCTGCTCTGTCCCCAGATTGAGGGAAGAAACAACACAGTCAAAGGAAAAGGTTCAAATACTAACAATGGATAGCCTCCCCCATACCCCTAGGTCTTACCTTCACAACTCCAATCAAAGATAAACCTTTCATTACCAATATGCAGAGTCAAAAATGTCAGGGCAGACAAACCACGGTAGATTCTGGCCTAACAGTTTTTGTCAGGTACCATGACATACACTGGCATTCTGAAGGCACATGGGGTGAGCAATAAGGGAGACACACACACACACACACACTCCATCATGGTATGCAAATGGCCCAGAGTCAGAGGTTCAGGAAGAGGGGTGTCAAAGACCCCAGAGAAAGAATCTGGGGTGGTGTTAGGAAAAAATGGAGCAGATAAGTGGGCCAGCCACCGTAGCAAACAGGGACTGACGAAAGGGCTGCACATCTTCATGAGGAGAGATAAGAAAGAGTTATACACACAAGTAGGACAATCTGGAAATAACAGTCACTTCCAAGTGACAACAGGTTGCAAAGTGTACTCTATCGATGGGAAAGTGAAACAAATGGAAAGAGAGTACTTTGAAGGGCCGGGTGCGGTGGCTCACGTCTTTCATCCCAGCACTTTGGGAGGCCAAGGTGAGAGGACTGCCTGAGCCTGGAGGTTCGAGACCAGCCTGGGCAACTTGGTGAGACCCTGTCTCCACGACAAATCACAAAAACTAGCCAGGCATGGTGGCATGCAGCTGTAGTTCCAGCTACTTGGAAGGCTGAGATGGAAGGATCACCTGAGTCCAACAGGTCGAGGTTGCGGTAGCGGTGAACGTGCCACTGCACTCCATCCTGGGCAACAATGAGACTCCAAGTCATACATATGTATATACATACATACATACATACATACATAAAGTACTTTGAACTGTGGCTACAACAAAGGTCAAGGAGGAGGAGACTGGGCTAGTTACTGAGTCACTCAAGTACGGGAAGGAGTGAACCACAAGTCAGAAAGGTCAACAGAAGCTGGGGAAGAGGTGGCATCAACTGAAAATGTATAAAAGAGGAGACTGAAATGAAGGCAGAATAATGAAATAATTTCCACAAACTGCAAGAGATGGAAGCAAAAATGAAAAGGATGCATTTGTTTAAAATTAGATTCAGTAAAAGCCAGGTTGTGAAAAAGGTTAAATATGTAAGGGGTTTCGTTCCCAACTGGCTGGGACTCAGGGGCAGATGGAGCTAACAGAGCAAACCTAGCAGCAGGAGTGGCGAGCACGGCTGGCTGGGACCAGAGTTTAAGAAAGACAGAGGAATGGGGGGAAAAGATGAGCCGGCACTCGTTTTCTTTAAGACCAGTAGCTGTACTCCCTAGGTACAGGGCCCTCAAGGTACAGGTGTGAAGGCGAGTAAGACCAAGGAGAAGGCAACATGGGTGGCTGATCTGCTTATAATAAATATGCCAGGTCTGTCCATTTCCCTTGGTCACAGTTGAGCGACCCAAAGTAGGCCTGTCAGCGACCCAAAGTAGACCTGTCACATCCTCACTTCTGAAAGTTTAAAACCTTGGAGTCAGGTCCCTTTATAAAACCCTTGAAAGGCTATCCATGGTAACTAACTCCTATTGATACTCCAAAACCCTGATGTTGAGAGCAACTCCTACCCTACTGCATGATAACTTCCCCACTTTTTTTGGGTTTTTTGAATCAGAATAATTTATGTTGCTTAGAACGAAAGTATTTTATCTGATCCAACACAGCATCTGCCCGTAGTCAATTTACTCAGTTTCTAATGAGTCAACTGAGGGAGGCCCTGAATTTATTTTTACCAGATCACAAAATAAAAGGGTCAAGCCTAAAACCCAATCTGCCCTACTCTTAGTACTGTGGATAATATTGTAAACACAGATTTAGCCAGATAACACCAAACATTTAATCATTCAACTAGCCTGAAATAAAAACTTCGATATAAAGGCTAAACACAGAAGGCCAAAATGGGAGGAGATGGTGGTGAGGGAAGAAAGAGGAGGAGCCACTTCTCTCTTGGCAGCTGAGAAGGTTCACGCTACCACAACGCGAAGCCTGAGGAATCAAAGCAAGGTCTCCATGATGTGCAAATGGCAGCCATTGTGCTAACATGAAACCTGCAACTGTTAAAAACCTTAAGGAGAGACAAGAAACGTTAACAACAGGCAACATTATAAAGACCACACCTACAATACCAGAACATTTTTGACACTCATCACATGCTTGAAAACATTTGCTTCAGTAAAACCTTCTTCACCACATACTCTTGGACCCTAAAACATTTCTCATAATTCTTTGACCTCCCAAGGTGTTTTTTGCTATTTTGCCTCCTTCTTTCCTTAGAACCTTTGTAAAGTTGGATTTCCTTTGTTTGCCTTACAAAATGGCCTTTCTTGCTAAAATTTTCAGTTTATTTCTCTTTCTCTAGCTTTGCCTTATCCATTAAATATTAATCTTTCCTGTTTCCTTGGAGCTTGATATGTTCTTACCTACTCATTCCCTCACTAGGATGAGAAGAAACAACAGGAGCTTTTTAAAATGAAAACATTAACAAAGGTCATCTGTGTTGTCAACCCCGAGTGTAAATACTACATGTGCCTCTGTGAAGTCGTTCCTTTTTTTTTTGAAAATGGGTTTTCAGTAAAAATGGGAATCTGGACTCTTAATTTATATCCCAGATGGTCCAAGTTCATGATGATAAACATGCACAACCAGTAGCCCCATTTGAAATACGTCTGGTAAATATAATTACTTTATAGAAACAAAAACTATATTACTCATTCAAGAACTTATTTAAAGAAAAACTGTAATAAATCTAATGTGTAGCCTATAGTAACCAGAATGAAAACTCTGATTTTCCCCTGACACATATCAGAGAATAAGATAATCTTTTAAAAATTTTTCTGATTGAAAATATACTTTATTTAGAAAGTAAATTGGGGGGGTACAGAGAGAGAAGGGGGGGAGGAGGGAAGGAGAGAGAGAGGGAAGGAGAGAGAGAGGGAGGGAGAGGAGATTCACCTCCCCAAGGTTGGGGAGGGGATCAAAGCCAGGAAACACGGTGGTCACAGCTCAAAGAGCCATGTGGACACACCAGAGTTTAACAAAGCAATAGCCTATCTTTTTTTAAAAAGTGGCATTTTAGCTACTTCCAACTTACAAGAAGAAATATGTATACTTGACTTCTTATATCATTTGGCTTTTTGCTTGCCATCTTTCTAATAGTCGCACAAATCCATTTCTATGTACATGTAGTTTATATGAAAGCACCTACGACAGTCAGTTAACAGAAGGAAAATAACAAATCTTCATGAGGCATATACTAAAAGCTAACACAAAGACTCTTTAGGATAAAGAGCACGCTCCCTGTCTCTTTCAACCACAACTCTTCTAAGTCGATAAATGCTAGTTGCCTTGCATCCTAAAGCAGTGATTCACAACAGGGCAGATTTTTGGCCCACCCTTCCCCAGGAAATATTCTACGATGTCTTGGGACATTTTTGGTGGTTAGCAACTGTGGGGAGCAGGAGGGTGGGGAATACTACCGACATCTGGTTGATCAAGGCCAGGGATGCTGCCAAACACCCTACAGTGTATAGATGGCCCCTCAGATGGTCTGAGCTATCCAGCCTCAGATGGTCTGAGAAACTCTAACCTACGTAAAAATAATACTAAAGGAAAGAGAGCAACTGATAAGAGAGAACCGTGAGTCACTGTTTGTTGAGAACCTCCCAGCACTGCCAGAGCCACCTACCTTGGACGCCTGGGGTGTGGATATCACATGGACCGTGCTGGGTTTGACGCCATTGGCCTTGGGCCGCTTGTAGAGAGCAAATCTGCTTTTCCTTCGTCCTCTGTCTCCATTAGGTAAAGCACCATTGTATCTAGAAACAGAGATAAAAGAGTTCACCTATTTGCAGACTGTTTTTAAGTTGTTGTTTTTTTTTTTGAGTTGGAGTCTCACTCTGTCGCCCAGACTGGAGTGCAGTGGCCGCTCCCAGCCACCGCAGCCTCAACCTGCTGGGCTCCGGCGATCCTTCCGCCTCAGCCTTCCGAGTAGCCGGAATTACAGGCGCGCGCTACCACGCCCGGCTGATTTTTTAATTTTATTGTAGAGATGAGGTCTCGCCTGCCCAGGAGGGTCTCGAATCCGCAGGCTTTTTAAAGTTTTAAGCATAAAAGTTAGAGAAAATAAGGGAATAGACAGGAGTGGTCATAAAGAATTGCCCACTAAACATTCCACAAAAAGAGAGGGTTGCAATACAGACTTCAGCTGTAAAGAAATCCAAATCACTGCTAGAAACTGAATTTAAGAGTGATGTACAGGTAACTATAGGTTTCCTATTCTACCAAGTCAGACTCTTCAAATCTTTTTGGGAAGAGACAAAGTATAAATAAGCAAATGAATATTCTGCAGAGGCAGAGCAGGCACTGGCTGCGTTTGGTTAACACCGCTCTAATAGACCCCAGAGAAATGCGTGAGAAATATTTTTAAATGAACTAGCTAGAAAATAGCATACTAATTACTCATCTCTCACTTTCAAACCATGTTAATGCTGTCCATAGGTCTTTATCTATAAGAAGACTAAGTTTAGCTACTTGCTTTCTTAAAAGCTCTCAATTCACTACATTCATTCCCGTTTCTGTTTGAACCCTACACTGTCAGGTTTGCAAAAAGAAAAAAAGCTTGCAGGAATTAAACATATTTTTTGTTCACAAAAATTAGTTGCAAAAATACACACATGAGTTTTAGTCCACCAACTGTCAAATAACTTAAAGGTCATCTGGAAAACATATAATAACCTTAAGCAGATTTCTTGTATTTAGCTAATACCAGAGCTTAAAAGAAATGCAGAACTGCAGTTAGCATTTCGATTTTCAACAGTAATTTCTAACTCTGGATGCTCTTAGTGCTGCCCATGCTGCCACATCAACACAACTATTCTCTGCCTTCACCTTGGCAGAAGCTCTTTTCCAGGAAAAAAATACCTAAAAGAAGAGAAGGCAGTCATTTAAATTTACATGGAGAAATCTGACCTCCAAGGCTACCTCAGAACACCAAAGTTAGGGGACAGCAGGTCTGGTGGCTTGTTCCTATCCTGGTCTTGTCTGGCAGAGCCCTGAGCCTTCAGCTATACCCAGTAGGGAAGCAGGGATGTTGGGCCCCTAGAAAATAGGAGGAATTGAAACAAAGGGGCTTTGTGTGTTTGTTTTACAAGTCAAGTCATAACTACAGCCTGACAAAGGTTCTAAGTTGTCACCGGAAGTTATTCTCACTGTGTTTTTAATCTGTTTCATTTCCATCATAAAGGAATGTCAGCTATATAAAAACGTCTCTAGAATAAAAAGATAATTTACTTCAAGTCTTACTCCTCTTCTTTTTCTCAAGCAAGATTAGAACAGTGTACGCAGTTTCCTTAAACTATTTGTGATCACTACTATAAAGTATCCAGAGTCAAAAACCATTGCAAACCCACTTTGTTTCCACATCACTTAAATCAAGATGAACATTCTATATTAAGGGAAACATACGTGAATCAGTTAAAGCCAGGACTGTAAACAATTCAGAGGAAGATTCTCACCACTGTGGCCTAGAGACAATTAGTACAAGATCTTTCAAGGCCTCCTACACCCCTCACTGGCACCCAGCTCTTTGCTGCATCTCTCAACTACACACTCCCGGTCAGCAGGCCTAGCCAAGTAAGAGTGTGGCAGACACTGTGCAGGCTCTCTGCTCACAACTACACTCTCTTCTCTGGAATCTATTCCTTAACTCCCAAAGGTGAGCCCTGCACCGCATCTGAATGAAACAGATAGGCCAGCACCCTCCCACCACAATGGAGCTGATTGGTCAGAGGTCAACACCCAGTGTGAGCTGGCCAATGACACTCTCAGTCTGGAAAATACAAAATTGGGATGGAGCAACAGCCACCCATTCCCTGTTGATGGCTAGAGCTCTAAAATGTAAACACAGGAGCTGCTACACTGCCAAGGAAGTAAAGTGAAGGGTGAAGTGGATGAACAGAGACAGCAGCAAAAAGAAATGGAAAGAGGATCCTTAAGGGTTTCTATTGGCCCAGAAGTACCCCGACCTGTCTTCATGAAATTCTTTTTAGCTTCAGCGAACTCAGGCTGGTTTCCGCTACTTACAACCCAAAAGCCATGTCTAATAGAAAGGGTAGGGGGAAACCCATAAATGTCAGCCTTAACACATGCAGAAACATTTTAATTTAAATTGTCCAAGCTCAGATGCACAGATACTACAGGTTAAGCAAATAATAAGCCAGTCTACTTACAGATTGCCTACTTACTTAATACATCTAGATGAAAAATCCTACTGGAAATAATTAAGGTAGCAGTGGAAAAACTATTGTCAAGATGAGACAAGTTTCTAATTAGATTAAGCCGCATGGTCATTCATCCAATCGTCATAATGCTGAGCACTAGAGCTGCAAGGATGAATATTAGCTTCCCTGCCTTCACAGAGTTCTCTGCTTAGGACAGAAAGGCACAGGAATAAGTGTGCTGAGATGCACATGTAACATGATGCACTAAGCACAAAGCACATGGGAGAGGCATCGGGGAGGGATACATGGAGGAGATGCTGTCTGAAATCTAAGTAAGAAGATGACATGGGGTATGCAGGAGGACAGCAAGCCTGGGAGGACTCCTCCCAGCTTAGGGATGCGAGAGCATGAGTTCCAGAGGAGGGCGAAGGGCCAGCGGGCCCGATGAGAACAGCCTGGGACTCTACAAGGGGCACAGCCTTTCACCACAAGCAGGTGGGAGTCTGGCAAGATTCAAGCAGATGGCTAACAGGATGGGAAATACTAAGTGTTCGCCAGGGTGGCACAGAGCAGGACAGTCTAGAGATACCCAGACAAGAGGCCAGACGTGAGAACCACCACAGGAGATGGTGCCCAGGGGTATGTGGTGGGCTGAATGGCGGCCCCCCAAAGATATGCCCACATCCTGGAACCTGGGAATGTGACTTTTTGGGAGAAGGGTCTTGGCAGACGTAATTCAGTTCAGGATCTCGGGATGAGATCATCTGGGATGACCAGTGGTCCCTAACCCCAACAGTAAGCATCTTCACAAGAGACACAGGGAGAGGAAGGAAATGACTGTGCGACAGCTGGGGCAGAGGCGGAGCAGGGCACCCACAAGCTGAGAACACCTGGAGCCTCCAGAGCTGGAGAAGGCAAGGAGGGATTCTCCCCTTCAGAGCCTTCGCAGGCTCCCTGACACCTTGGCTTCAGACTTGCGCCCCCCAGAGCCATGAGAGACTACATTACTGTTGTTTTAAGCCACTACGTTCGCGGTGATTTGTGATGGCAGCCACCGGAAACTACGAAAGCCTAAGCCAAAGCGGCCACGGTGGAAAGGAGCTGGAGGGTTAGAGAAGAGTGTCAGAGTTGTCCTCAATATGAAATGAACATCACAATCACCGGGAGGCTTTACAGAAACAGCAACACCAGAGTCCCAGGAGATTCTTCTTCACTAAGTCTGGGCCTGCACGTTTGCAAAGCTCCACGAGTGATGCTCACACTCAGTCACAGTTAACAAGCCTGGTTTCAGAGATAAAATGAACAGTACTTGGTAACCTGTTTGGATGCACGAGGTGAGGGACGGATAAAGGGGATGGTACAGACTTCTTGCCTGGCCAGGGAGACGTTATTATTAGAAACAGGAACAGGAATTACAGGGACATCCAGGGGAGACATGCAGGAGGCAACCAGACAAGCCTAAAGCTCTAGACAAGTTACAGACCTGGGGCCTTCACCACACAGCGGTGAAGGTCACGTTATGAGGATAAACGTGGTTACTCTAAAAAGGGTACAGAGTAGGGAAGCAAGGAAGGCTGGGACAGAGCCCAGGAAATACAACCACTTAAGGAAATAGGCCCTGTCAGTCCGGGACGGAGGCAGAAGGTTCAGGAACAAGAGAAATATGTATCATCCACACCAAGAGAAGACTGAATTTCAACAGCATTTAATTGGCCAAGAGAATGAAAATGAACAGCCATGATTTGGGAAAGAATGGGTCACTGCCGACCTCACCCACCTTCAAAACAAAGCAAAACAAGCAAATGCTGCCAACCCTCAACTCCACTCTGAGCCTCCAACTCCCACACCCACCTCCTCACAGGATCTTGAGAAGTACTCCACACCCAGTATTTCACTTCCAACACCAGTTGGCTTTTCAGGCCACTCTCCTTTGATCTCTGTCCCCAGATCAAAAAGGGCACTTGATCACGTGTTATCAGCTGGCACGGCATCCAGCTCTCCCTCCTGAAAGTCTCTCAGTGGTTCTCCTACCAAGGAAGCCAGAGGGCTGCTTCTCCCACTGAGAAGTGGAATCCAGTTCACCTCTCCCTACATCTGGGCTGAACTTAGCGATTTGCTTACCAACAGGGTGCAGAGGAAGCAATGTGCTAAGACTTCTGAAGCCAGGTGTGAAAAGCCTTGTGGCTTCTGCCTGGGTCTCCTGGGACCCCTAAACCGCCATGTGGGAAACCCACCTACCCTGGAACCACCATGCTGGGGAGGTCACACACAGGCACTCCAGTCAGCAGTCCCAGCAGAGTCCAGCTTCCCAGCCACCCCACTAAGGCATCAGACATGTGAGAGAAAGCATCCTGAACTCTCCAGGGCAGTCCATCCATCAGCTGCCCACCACCAGGTGACCTCAGTTAATACCACGCATGGCAGAATTGCCCAAATGCCTAACTCACAGAATTGTCCAGTGAATTACACAGTAGTTGTCTTAAGCCAGTAAGCATTGGGGTAGTTGGTTACATAGCAACAGATCCCTGAAACAACAAGCTCCATACCCTCCAGCCTAGTCTTCCTCTCTCTGCCTCACCACCTCGGTGCT